GTATGGAACGTTAATTTTTTATCAAGGTAGAGTATCAGAGTCGAATAAATAATTTTTATAAAATTTCTATTTTCGAAGATGGACGAAATAGAATGAAGAAGCTCATAAAGTAAGAAAATTTAGTTGGTTCGAATTAAGGAAGAAAAACTGCAATGAAGAAAAACAACGTGTAAAGAAATATTAACGACGAGATAGTAAGTTTCCGTTGAAATTAGCAGTGATGCTAGATGGCGAAATTAAAAACGATACGCTTCGCGGTTTCTCGTTATACGGGGTTGCAAAAATTTTTAAAGAAATTGAAAGCTTTTAGCGTCCATATAAATGAAATTTATTCGTAGCGATGCATCACATCCTCGTAAAAGCACAAAGTTAAAAAATAATAAAGATAGAATTAAAATTTTTTGTCAATATATTCTAATTACGATAGAAATTATGTATTTTTCAAATATTTATTTTATACCTTAAAAATAGAAGAAATTTTAATAAAAGAAATTTTTAAATAACAAATTTAAATTTATAAAAAAACAAAAATTTCGAAGAATTAGAAAAATTTCGAGATTGAATGCACAAGATAATTTAATTTTAAGAAATAATATAAACTTAGCCATACGAATATGTATGGCTATCGTATTTATTCGATTTTTCTCTCAAAGTTTTTTTTTAATCGTATTTATTCGATTTTTTTCTCAAAGTTTTTTTTTTAAAGAATATTAACAGATGCAAAGTCTAATAATAAAATCTTCTCACCAAGGAATAGAACATAATCCCATAATTACTATTCTACCTATACACAAGCAAAATTTCCTCAAGTTTGAAATTGCTCGAGTTTGGCCAGCGATAATGTTTGTTATGTTCAAAGAAACATCGAGGAAGACATTGCGCAATCCTCCAGAGAATCGAGATATGCAACCAAATACAACACATCCCTGGATATTGCCATAGTTTCTTATATCTGATAATTAATAACGGCTTCGAAACGGTTACGTATTTCAAATTAATATCAGTGCTACAATTTCATCCAATTTTCGTTTCTTGAAGTGAATTGAAGTTGATTAACAATTTTATATTTGGAACGTTGGAAATTTTAAGCGCCAGAGTTGGCCAATTTAATCGGTTTAAATTAAGAAAAAAATCATCTTCGATTCTCCATTCTCTCTCTTGATACATATAAAAGATTTTTTGAAAAAATTCTACTTATATTTTAAAACGAATTTAGACAGACAATATTCTTTTACGAAGTTATAACAGTTCAAATTACGAGTAATAATTTAGTAATCTTTTGGACAAGTAAAGAGTAAGATTTTAATTGCAAAAAAAAAAAAATACAATTATTAAAAATAATTCTTTTATATTATAATTCTCTCTTCGAATTATAACTATAAACTTTATGAACTTCATAAAACCAACTATACCAAATTATTCAAATTATGATTATTACATTCACAATACGAAATTCGTTCCAGATTAAGTATATTTATAATTAATAATAAAAATAATAATAATAATAATAATAATCGATTGGCGCACAATTATACAAAATGAATAGTGACACGGTTCGATCACTTAAAAGCAGCCATT